CCCCCCTTTGGGGTACATAGGGGTACATTTGGGGTCTCCCTACCCTCTGCCCCCCCAGGAGGTGAGTGGGGGTCTCCATACCCCCACTTTGGGGTACACAGGGGTTCATTTGTGCCCCCCCCGCCCTCTGCCCCCCCAGGAGGGGGTGGGGGTCTCCATACCCCATCTTTGGGGTACATTGGGGTACATTTGGGGTCTCCCTGCCCTCTCCTCCCCAGGAGGTGGGTGGGGGTCCCCATACCCCCCCTTTGGGGTACACAGGGGCTCATTTGTGTCTCCCCCCAGGAGGTGGACATCTACACGGTGAAGGTGGAGGAGCTGACGTTCACGGCGCCGTTCTGCCTGCAGGTGAAGCGCAATGATTACGTCCACGCGCTGGTCGCCTACTTCAACATCGAGTTCACGCGCTGCCATAAGCGCACCGGCTTCTCCACCAGTGAGGGCGGGGCCAGGGCCAGGGGGCGGGGCCTGGCTGGGGTGGGCGGGGCCAGCAGGGGCGTGGTTATTTCGCAAAGGGCGGGGCTAGCGGCTTGGCCCCGCCCCCTCTGCTGTTGGAGACCCTGGGGTTACTGCAGGGCGTGGGGGCGGGGCTAAGAAACGGGGCGTGGTCAGAGAATGGAGGCGTGGTCAGAGAACGGGGGCGTAGTCTGAATGGGGGTGTGGTCAGGGAATGGGGGCGTGGTCAGAGAATTGGGGCGTGGTCTTAACAGGGAGGCGGGGCTAGCAGCTAGGCTCCGCCCCCTACTGGTTGAGGGCCAGAGGTTACTGCAGGGCATGGGGGCGTGGCTAAGGGAGGCCGTGGTCTTATCAGAGGAGGCGGGGCTAGCAGCTAGGCTCCGCCCCCTACTGGTTGAGGCCCAGAGGTTACTGCAGGGCGTGGGGGCGTGGCTAATGAAGGGGGCGTGTCTTAGCACACGTGGGCGGGGCTAGCAGCTAGAGCACGCCCCTTCTGTTTGAAATCCCGGGGTTACTGCAGGGCGTGGGGGCGGAGCTAAGGCGGAGGGCGTGGTCTTATCCGAGGGAGGCGGGGCTAGCAGCTATGCCCCGCCCCCTTCTGGTTGAGGTTACTCGGGGCGTGTGGGCGGAACTAAGGGGGCGTGGTCTGATCGTGGGGGGCGTGGTCTGATCGGCGGGAGGCGGGGCTAGCAGCTAGGCTCCGCCCCCTTCTGTTTGCGATCCCGTTGTTCCCAGATTCCCAGTGCCCCCCATTCTGTCCCCATGTCCCCTTGGTGGTGTCCCCACGTCCCTTAGGTGTCCCCTGGATGTCACCAAGTCCGTCCACCCCCCACCCCTCCCTGTCTCCCCACCCCCCACGGCATCACCGCCCCACATCACCCCCCATTGGGGGGCGTCAGTTGCTGCCCCCTCCCCACCCCCCCGCTCTGGCCGTGTCCCCACGCTGTCCCCACGCTGTCCCCACGCTGTCCCCACGCTGTCCCCACGCTGTCCCCAGGCCCCGAGTCGCCGTACACGCACTGGAAGCAGACGGTTTTCTACATGGAGGATTACCTGACCGTCAAAACCGGGGAGGAGATTTTTGGTACCATCACCATGAAGCCCAACGCCAAGAACAACGTGAGTGGGGGCATTGGGGACATTGAGGGGACATTGGGGGCACCCAGGGGACACTGGGGACACACAGGAGGCATTGAGAGGACATTGGGGGCACCCAGGGGACACCCAGGGGACATTGGAGGCATTGAGGGGACACTGGAGATACCCAGGTGGCACCCAGGGGGCACCCAGGGGGCACCCACGGGACACTGGGGACACTCGGGGGGCACCCAGGGGACACTGGGGAGACATTGATGGGACATTGGGGACACACAGGGGGCACCCACGGGACACTGAGGGGACATTAGGGACACCCAGAGGACACCCAGGGGACATTGGGGACAAACAAGGGGCTCCCAGGGGACACTGGGGGCATTGAGGGGACATTGGGGACACCCAGGGGACATTGGGGGGACACTGGGGGCACCCAGGGGACACTGGGGACACACAGGAGGGATTGAGAGGACATTGGGGGCACCCAGGGGACACCCAGGGGGACATTGGAGGGATTGAGGGGGCACTGGGGACACCCAGG